TTGAATCAAAACATCCCTTCTCGGAATTTTTTTAATATGTGCATATATATTATATCAGACTGCAGAATTATGGTTTATTAAAATTTCTTCAAATTTGAAATTTAAGTTTCTTATTCAAAATTTCAACCGTACATAGACTTTTATTTAAAAGTTGGGCAAACAGTTAAAACCCTTCGCAGCAATATTTGGTCATTTTTAGTCGCCCTCGTGGTTAATCCAGCCACATGCTTTACTATATTCCTTTGGAAGCGTGTTGGATTGGATTCAAATTTGAAATTAGAGCATTTTGTTTAGCAATATAAGAAGCCCGTAAACACGAAATCAGCTTCCAAAGTTTTTTTATGCTATAAGCGGAGTAACAAAAATCCAGTTTGTACACTGGGTCCACGCTTTAGAACCTTTCAATTCTCCTGTTACACTGGATCTGTAGCGAATATGCGGAAAAAGCCCCGCAAAAATTGGAACTGTATCCGCTGCATGTGATAGCAGATCCTCATGCTGCAGGATATATGTATATATATTGATGACATATGTATATTTAATTTCCAGCTGCCGTGTTTGGAACATGAGGGTCGGTAACATAAAAATAGATAACACGTCACAATTCGAAAGATTCGGAAAGAGTGTAAAATGAGGTACTGAATTCCTTTTTCAGACTTCGCCCTTCAAGTCGAACTTCGTTTTCAGTGGAATAGCTAATACTTTTGGCACCATTCTCTCATAATCGTTGCTGATTAGGGCTGTCATTTTTAAAAATTTTCAAAAATAACCGGATTCCTGAAAACATACCCAGCATCATTACCAGGAAGGCCTTGCAAACCTTGAGGACCTGGCTGCCCCGGCGGACCTACATCTCCTGCTTCTCCTTCCGGTCCATTTGATCCCATCGGTCCTGTAGTCACAAGCACTGGCGCTCCTGGTTGGCCAGGTAAACCAATCGGTCCTGGCGGACCGGGTGGTCCAGGTTGTCCTAAAAAAATGCACTTTTTCACATAGCCTATGAATTCTTTGCTCACTCCTATCTTTACATCTTGACTTTTCTGAGAAAATCTTCGTGTACGATTCTCGAACGAGCATTTCTCTACATCTAGTAACGTAGTAACAAATGAAACTCAAAAATATTTTTGTGTAGATCTGTGCATAGGCGCAGCTGCTTGCACAAATTTGTACGGAACAGCTGTGCTTATGTATAAATATAGTATATATATATAGTGTAGATATACTATACTTGCAGAAATACCAAAATCGTCCTCGCACTTGGTTTGGATATCCTATGTTAGTGACTCTACTGAGATGCTGCAAAATACTCAGTACAGTTTTGTCGGTCTGTTTCGCACTTCATCACCTCAAGCTAGTACTTGCGCGTACACCTTAAGCTAGTGCCTACGCGTGTATGCAACCTTTTCGAGGTCATTCGAGTGGTCACTCAGACTTATTTATTTACAACTTGCCAAAATCCCCATGTAGCACTCATTCCTTACATGTATTTATATCCGTTATTTATAACAGTTCAATTTTTGGAAAATGTAAATCTTTGTAAAAATCACTTAAAAGATCTCAAAGCTCAAGTACTCCATGTTTAAGAAACAAATAAACGAGCAAGCATCAAACTTCATCGACAAAAACCCTTTGACTTTTCACCGTTGCATTTTAGTTCGAACGAATAAACTGAAAAACAGTGTCTTATGATAATAATTAATAAATTATTATTACCCGGAGCGCCGATTCCTGTAGTAACATCATTTCCGGAGGGTCCGGCTGGACCAGCTGCTCCTGGAACTCCAATAGGTCCCGGATCACCCGGTGGCCCAGCGACAACAACTTTTTTCCCATCCTGTCCTCGCGCTCCCGGTGCCCCTCGCGGTCCTCTTTTTCCCTGCAAAATAAAACCTGAA